TCATATCTTTCTCTCCTCCCCTCTCCCTTTGGTTTTCTCTTCTTCGTCTTTTTCTAGAGGAAACATCAACATTCTAATGAGGTTTCTGGCATCCACTGTGAGAGAATGGGGGTGGGGGGGCAAGAAGAGACCAGGGAGTAGGGGAGAGCTTGACTGCTACTCTGCTCAGCTGTCTTCATCCTTGGGGGGCCCGGCCCATTCTCTGACCCAGTCTCACTCGTAGCAGGTGGGGAATTAGACGGTCACCCCTCTGGAACACTTCCCTAGGGGGACATTTTTCTCTGATAGTCTGCTTCCCTCCAGTAGGTTTCCCATTGGTCTGCCACAAGTGAGATTTTTTTGGGATCTATACAGAAGCAGATCTCTTATGCAGCATTTAAAGTGGCCCTGGGTGGAACATCTCTCCTTATGACCCACATCTGTTCCTCAAGAAACTCTTGGGCTTTTCCTTCTCATATCTTTGGACTATTGGCCCAGCTAGGGTCACCAGATAAAATACACAGTGATCAGTTCGCTTTGAATTTCACGTGAACAATGAAAATACAATCCCTGCCCTGCTAGAGCTTACATTCTAGTGGAGGAGGAAACCAATAAGCTATAAAACCTGCCTTTAGGGGGTATGATGGTTCATTTTATGTGTCGACTTGACTGGCTAAGGGATGCCCAGAGAGCTGGTGGAACAATATTTCTGGGTATGTCTGTGATAGGGTTTCCATAAGAAGTTGTTTGAATCAGTAGACAGAGTAGAGAAGATCCACCCTCTCCAATCGGCTAAGAGCTTGAACGGAACAAAAAGGCAGAGGAAGGGCAAATTCCTCTCTGCATGATCTGAGGCATCCATCTTCTCCTGCCTTTGGACATCCGCTGGTACTCCAGGTTCTCGGTCCTTCAGACTCGGCTCAGGGCTCACACCATCAGCTCCGGATTCTCAGGCCTTCAGATTGAGACTGAATTACACCACCAGCTTTCTTGGTTCTCTAGCTTGCAGATGGCGGATCATGGGACTTCTTGGCCTCTGTAACTGTGTGAGCCAATCCTATGATCAGTCTCCTCTTCTGCATATCTATGTATATATCCTATTGGTCCTGTTCTCTAGAGAACACTGACTAATATCAGTGATGACTTGTTAAATAAAGAAAAATAAATAGGAGTAAGGGGATGGAGACGGGGGCATCATGCCTAGAAATAGCCAAGATTCGGGCTGCTTCTGCTTAAAACCTGGCCCATCTCTTAGAAGCTGCACATCTCCAGGAAAGCCACCTCACCTTTCTGAGTTGTGGAAACTAACCGTCTCCAGCTGATAATCAGTTTCCTTTGCAGACTCACAGGGTCCCAGCCCTAAGAAGACTGAATTGGCCAAATTTGTTTTTCTGTTGTCTGAATGTTGTATATATTGGCTCCCCAGGTGGTCTCTCCCCTGAAGATCTGCTGGCAGAATATGGGGATTCCCAGAACTTCTGTAAACAGCATGCTCTTTCTTGTGCTGGTGCCCTCTGCCATCTTTGTTTGATGTACTGGGAGTACCTGAGACAGGCCTGCTCCTCCGTGCGCCTCTGTGGGATACTGGGGCGATGCCCTTTGGCTCCACTGAGGCTAAGAGGGCTTTTCTCATAAGGACTTGGTGTAAGGTGTCAGCTTCCTGGGGAGTCCCAGTTCGGAGCTCTGTAAACATCTCTGACGCCTATCTGCTGTCTAACCTTTCCCCTCTCTGGCCTCAGTTTCCACATCTGTAAAGCCAGGGAAGCACTACGCGATGGTCTGACTGTCTGCCACTGACTTCCTGAGTCAGGGAGGTCTTAGGAACAGAGGGGCCCAGTGGTTAGATCCCCACCCCACTTTTCCCAGGAAAACTCTCTTTTAACTAAATTTTTATATTCATGGTTGTCTTGTTTTATACACTGTGATTCAATATACAGTTTTGCTTGCACCAAGTGCTGAAAGTTATAAATACTTATAGATCTGTGATTATCTAAGGTATCTCACCCCTGAAATGTAGGGGTCAAAAACTCAGGCACTTACCTCTGCCTGGTTTAGGAACTGAAAAGATAATAAATCGAAACTCAGGGAATTTTGGGTTATTAGATTTGATTCTGTATTATTGTTTTTGCTTTCGATCTTTAAAGTGTATGTCCAGTAACTTGATGCTGCAACAGTGGTTTTAAGTTGTGCTCATTTCTTTTACAATTGTTCTTCCTCACCCCCAACAATCATTTATTTATTTAGTTTTTGCTATTCTGAAGGACAATTGATTGTATTAACTCTGGGTGTGTATTTTCTTTTTTTTCCTCCACAAGAGTTTATCATAAGTTTTCTGTCATAATGGATAAACTAGTTTTTTCCTCCAATTATTTTTATTATGGTAAAATACATAGAACATAAAATTTACCATCTTAGTTATTTTTAAGTGTACAGTTCAGTGGTATTAAAGACATTCACAGTGCTGTGCAGCCATTACCACCATCTGTCTCCAGAACTCTTTTATCCTGTAAAACTAAAACTCTGCACCCACTAAACAACGGCTCCCCATTGCTCCCTCCCCAGTTCCGGCAGTCACCCTTCCACGTTCTGTCTCTATGCGTTTGACTGCTCCAGGTACCTCATGGAATTGTATCGTATTCATCTTTTTATGACTCGCTTATTTCACTTAGCATAATATCTTCAAGGTTCTTCCATGTTGTAGCATGTGTCAGAACTTCCTTCCTTTATAAGGCTGAATAATATTCAATTGTGTGTTATACCACATTTTGCTCATTCATTCATCTATTGATGGATACTTGGATTGCTTCCACATTTTAGCTATTTTTGAATAATGCTATGAGCATGGGTGTACAAATACTCTTTCAGATCCCTGCTTTCAATTATTTGGGGTAATACCCAGAAGTGAAAGTGTCGGGTCACATGGTAATTCTATTTAAGTTTTTGAGGAATCACCACACTGTTTTCCTTAGCTGCTGTACCATTTTATATTCCCACCACCAGTGCATGATAAAGTACTTGTTATTATTACTACTTATGGAGTGCGCACTGTGTGTTGGCATCCTGCCACACGCCGGGTATAGATGTGGCAGTCACTTCTGGTGCTCCTTCCACATCCCCATTGGTACTCACCATTCTGCACATGCCAATAACTTCTTACTGTGCCCAAGACGCTCAGCCTGAGTGTGTTTGCTGGCTGCATGGGGCAGGCTGAAAATGCTGGGGGAACAATGCTCCCAGGAGCAGCCCTCAACCCGTGATGGCCAGGAGTTGGCATGTCAATAGCTCAACTTCCTTGCCTCTCAGGGGGACAACTCTGAGGCATGCACGATCTACACTGTCTCCCAGGGTCCCCATGAGGATCGAGCCCCAGTTGCCCACAGTGTAACTTCCTGAACACACTCTGTATTAGCTTCCTTCTCTGCTTCACTTTTTTACTACCCTTCCAGAACTTTCTGGGATCCCCTATTTAGTAAACTATTTTCACTCTAATGCTTATCTCAGGGTCTACTACTAAGACAGTGGGGTATTTCATCCTCAAACAGTCCTATGAAATGGACAGACATAGCTTTTCCATTTTCTAGTTGTGCAAAATGAGGCTCAGATCGGTGATGCCACTGGCTTGAGATCAAAGCCTTGGGCATTTACCTCTTCACTGTCTCCCTGAGGAGTGTGCCTTGATGGGCCTTGCTCCGGGACCTCTTCTCTCTCTGCCACCCCGAACTCTGTTGACCCTCCTGAGCCTGCATTTCCCCCCTGCAGGAAGGCCGCTGCCTGTTTGTCATCCTGCTCATGGCGGTGTACTGGTGCACAGAGACCCTGCCCCTCTCGGTGACGGCCCTGCTGCCCATCATCCTCTTCCCCTTCTTGGGTATCCTGCCATCCAGCATAGTCTGCCCCCAGTACTTCCTGGACACCAACTTCCTCTTCCTCAGTGGTCTGATCATGGCCAGCGCCATCGAGGAGTGGAACCTGCACCGGAGGATCGCCCTCAAGGTCCTGATGCTCGTTGGGGTCCAGCCGGCCTGGTAAGGCCAGGTAACGGGTCCAGCCCAAAGGTGGGGAGGCAGAGGGACCACATCTCCTGGAGCCCAAATTCACTCTCCCTGGTTCTCCCAAGCCAGCGAACTCACCTTGTCCTACCTTCCACGGACTTATTCGTTCCTCAGATATTTAATGGGCCCCTCTGTGTGCCAGACACAGTGCTAGGCTCTTGGAAGGGAGTAGTCTCAGAAGCACATAAGAATCACTTAGGAAACCCATTGAAAAGCTCGTCCCCAGGCCCCGCCCCCAGGGATTTGTGTTCATTAGTTTTAAAATGGGCCGTATTAGCAGTATGACTCAGACTTCTCAGGGCTGAATTTCACCTTTTCTAATATGGGAAATGACTTAACCTCTCTCTGTAAAATAACTATAATAATAGCCTAGGCCTGCACAGTAAATTCTGGCCATTATCAGCCAAGGTGACAGGGCGGGTGGGGAGTGGGTAGAAGGATGGCTTTGGAGAGACAGGAGGCAGGGTCCATTCCTGCAGGGCCTCAGGCTGCTGGTTAGAATTTGAACTTTTATTCTAAGAGGATTAAATAGCCTTTTAAATAGAGTTAATGTTGCTTGCTTATTTATCTATCTATCTATCTATCTATCTATCTATCTATCTATCTATCTATCATCTATCTATCTATTTATTTATGTATGCAATTTGGTATATCTTAAGGATTCCTTCCCAGAATAATGTTTTTAAATGCATAAAGCACAACACATGGGATTTAAAACAATAATCACTACAATTACAAAAAAAAATGTAATTATCCAAATAATTTTTTAAAAACACACAAATTTGTGGTATGGTACCATATATACTCCTTTCTAGTAAATAATAAGATCTAAGGGACTGGCTTAATAGCAACTGTAGTTCTGAGGCAGTTTTGAGTGTCAATGATATTCCAAGATTTCTGCAATAGAATAATTCTATAATAGAATAATATCTGTGATCTTAATTGGTGACCACGTCCCAGGCACTTCTAATACTGCTGTACTCTGTAGCCTATGTTTATTGCTGAAGGAAATAGTTAATTCCTATTAGATGTTAGTAAAATGAAAATGTATTTTCCTCCCTCCTTTCCATCCTGAATTATATCCATAGCCCCCTAGTTATGAATCTCTGCTTTAAAGAATTCTAAGCTCGGGAGTAACATGACCAGATTTGCGTTTTTTTTCAAATTCCTCTTGGCTGCCATGCGGAGAGCAGATGAGGGGTGCAGCCCAGTTAGGAGACTGTTCTGGGTGTCCTGACAAGAGATGGTGACAATTTGGACTAGGGTGGTGGCCGTGGAGATGGACAGAATGGATAGATTTGAGAGCTCTTTTCTTGATGGGTGTTGGGGTAGAGGTGAGGGAGAAGAAGGTTCTGGATAACTCATAGGTTTCTAGCATCTGCTCTGGGCCAAGCACTCTACTAGGCTCTGGAGCTGTGTTTCCTCCTGGAGGATCTGTCAGTCCTGGGAGAGATTCCATCTATAGAACTGATCCCAACACAAAGCAGAATTTGATACACAAGGGACACACATGCCATAAGAGCCCACATGAGAGGTAAGGGGTGACATTTTCATGGAGGAGCTTACATTTGACTTTGAAGAATGGGTGGGTCTGCTAGCAAACATATTTTAAAGTTCTTACAATGAAATCAACAGGACACTAGTTCAGAAATAGATTCGAAAACACAGAATAAGTAATCTAGAAGAAATCTCAATCAGTGGGGAAGGGAAAGATTTATTCAATAAATGGTGAGGATTGAAATAATTAGTTTATTCTTTGAGAAAAGGTCTAGTTAGAGCTGACTTCATACCATACATCTAAATAAATTACAGGTAGATTAAGAGTTAAGTGTAAAGGAAAAAAAAATCATGAAATTTAGATTCCTGTTGGTGGGAGGGACCAAGCAATGGAAGGCAGGCAGGAGAGCAGGGTGTGTTTGGGTGCTGGTGGGCAGTCTGGGGAAGCCTGAACAGGGGTGCCTGGTAGGAGTAGGAGGAGGAGTGGGAGTGGGAGAGAAGGCTGGGATAGGCCGTTTGGGGTAAAATGGTAGAGAGTCTTGGCGCCGAAACAAGGAAACTTTATTCTGCAATGGGAGCCATCAAGGATTTGCAGACAAAGGAGAAAAAAATTGGGGAATTGGGGCATCTTTGAAACTATTTTGCCTTGTGTACCTGTGGTGAGTTCACTTACATACATTGAGCCAGTTTCCTTAGATCTAAAGGCTGGTGACTGGATTTGGTCCCTGCTTGGTCACTGACTTGTTCTCTCCAGACCTTAACTTTCTATCTGTAAAATGAGTGCGCTGGAGTCCTAGGATTGGCAGATTCAGACCAGAGGACCTCCTGGACTCCAGTTCTGGATCTGCCTCGAACGTCCTCTGTTCCCAGGCTCATCCTGGGGATGATGGTAACCACCTCCTTCCTGTCCATGTGGCTGAGCAACACTGCCTCCACCGCCATGATGCTGCCCATCGCCAGCGCCATCCTGAAGAGTCTCTTTGGCCAGAAGGAGCCTCAGAAGGACCTCAGCTGGGAAAGTGAGGAGAATACAGGTGAGGTTGTGGAAAGGGACTGAGGACCAACCCCACCAAGGCGGAAGGGTGGCAGTGGGGCTGTTCACAGGGTGTCGGGGAAGGCCAAGGAATGCACTTATTGAGCACCTACTGTGTATTATTTTAATAATAATAATGACTGAGAATTAACCAAGTCAAACCATGGTAGTTAAAAAGCATATTTGCATTTATTGGGCATTTCCTATGTACTAAACAATGAGTTAAACACTTTACATACATTATCTCCTTAACCTCACAAAACAAACCTTATGAAGTAGATACTATAATTCACTCTTGTTTTAAAGCACTTGAAGAGATGCTCAAATTCACTAGTACCCAGAAAAATGCAAATGGAAACAACAGTGAGATTTACTTCGGCGAGACCGGCAGAAATAAGAAAGCTGGATAATGCAAAATATCGGCAAGAATGGGGCCACTGTAACTCTGTGCACTGCTAGAGAGAGGGGGGACTGGGTCAGCTTTTCTTAAGAGCATTCTGCAAATATTTAATCCGATTAAATATGCATCTACCCTGTAACCTAGCAGTTTTGCTCCTGAATGCAAATACTCAAGGGATTCTCACATAGGTCCATGAGGGGCCACGTGTGACACCGTTCACTGCAACATTCTCTGTGGTGTGGCAAATTGGAAGCCACATGAATGCCATCGCTAGTAAAAGGGAAGGTAAGGTGTGGTGGGTGCACACCATTGAGCACTATCCTGCTTTCAGGAGCAAAGAATGAGAGGAATGTATATTTATAGAAATGGATCTCATAAAACATAGTTGTGATTGGGGGAAAAGCCAGAATGAGATAAAGAATGCAATACCGTTATGCTATTATGTAAATTAAAAATACATACGAATGACAAAATATTTTGCAAGAACATAAGCAAATGAAAAGCTACACATTAAACACATCAGAGTGGTTGCTCTGGAAAGGAGGGGACTGAGAAGTGGAGAAAAAAGGGACTAAATAAATGAATAAATAAATAAAACAAGAGATTTGTGCGACAAATATGAGACTGTGTGATGAAGTGAGGGATCTGATTCATTCAAACCTCTGAAATCGTGTGCGAAATAAACCAAAAGTAGCTACCATGTTTTTTATATGACTAACCAAGTGACTTCCCGAAGTCATACAGCAGGCGAATGGCTGAGCCCAACTTTGCACCCAGGCAGTCTGTGTCCAGAGCCCACTCTCTTATCCATGACACCAACTGCATCAGTGAGAATTCTTTTGGCTGCAGGTAAAAGAATGCCAGTCTGCAAGTGGCTTAAAGAATAAGGGTTCATTTCCTTCAAATATCAAGAAGTCAGAGAAAGGCAGTTCCAGGATTGGTTCAGAGGCACAAAGATGTCAGGAGTGTTCATTGGCACCTCTGTTTGTCCCTTGATCTTTCCCTCATGGCTGCAAAATGGCTGCCACATCCTGTCTGCTTTAAAACATCTTCCTTTTTATTTACATAAATATATTTTAAAAGGAAGCTTTAAATTGGGACGTATGGGCAGAGATCGCTAGTTTACCCCCAGTATTGATTCTTCTTTTGTTTTTTTTTAGTAATAGAACCCCTGCATGGGCACATGGCTAGACAGAGAAAAGGCTGAATTTTCCAGCTTCCTTTGAAATTAAATCTGGTCATGTGACTAAGTTTAGCCAAGGGGAATGTGACTATGAAAGTAGGGGTGAGAGATGCTACCTGGACCCAAAGATGGAAGCTGAATGTTGAAAGATGAATGGCGGGTCTCCCCCATCAGCTTTGAATCATTTACCCCCCTCTCCCAACACAACAAACATTAGCCATGAAACCACGGGTTTTGTGTGCTGGTTATATTTTTTCAAATATAAATTAAAATAAATACGTATCTGTTAAAAATCAAAATATCGATCCATATACCGTCGACATAAATCTGATTTACTATGCTATGGGTATTTCCCCATCATGCAATAAGAGGTCTTCTTTTATTTCTCCAGCAGCCCTGAAGTCTAGAAATGGTTATAAGTACTTTACAGATGAGGTTCAGAGACGTGAGATGTCCAGAATCAATCACATTGTTGGTAAAGTAGCAGAGTCAGGATGGAGACAAGGTTAAAGACTTCCATGCGTATTACTATAATGATTGCATTAAGGCTTTTAAATAAGTTTAATCATTAAATTTTATTTTTTGAATAAAAAAAAAAAAGACTTCCACGTAGAAGGGAAGAGATACTCGAGAGCAGGGGTCAGCAAACATTTAATATAAATGACCAGATAGTTATTTTAGGCTTTGCTAGCCACTCTGTCACGACCAATCAATTCTGCCTTTGCGGAGAGAACGTGCCCATAGACGATATGTAAATAAGTGGGTGTGGCTGTGTTCCAAGGAAATTTTATTTATGGGTGCTGAAATTAAAATTGTATACAATTTTTACATCACGAAATATTATTCTTCTACTGACTTTTTCCAGCCATTTAAAAATGTTAGAATCATTCTTAGCTGGCAGGCATTGGGCAGGATTCAGCCCAAAAGCTACAGTTTGCAGATCTCTGCTCTGTAGTACTGACTTCAGCAGTTTTCAATCTGTTTCCCCTTAGTCTTGGGGCCCAAGAGAACTGCCTTGTTGACACCTTGAGATGGCAGCAAGCTCCTTCTCCCATTTCAACTCCAACGGCCCCCACTTTATCTGTTTTATACACTGAGCTTCCAAATAACAATCAAAGATGTTTATTGAGCATTTACTCTCTGCAAGGACTCTTCTCTTCTTAGGGTCTTACTTCTGAGTGAGGTGGAGCTAGCATTGACCTCATTCAGAGGAATAGAAATTGAGGAAGAAATAAATAAAAGAGGAAAAAGTAGCCCCAAGGTTACCGAGTTTCAAAACAGCTGCCCTGGTATTTTGAATCTGAGCTGGCTGACTTCAGAGCTCTTAAGCTTTATTATTCTGCCTGCAACACAAGATTTTTGCCAAAGAGTCTAATGGCAAAGAAAGGAAGGCAGGAAGGAAGGAAAGAAGCAAGGAAGGAAGGAAGGAAGGAAGGAAGGAAGGAAGGAAAGAAGGAAGGAAGGAAGGAAGGAAGGAAAAGAAAGAAAGAAAGAAAAGAAGAAAGAAAGAAAAGATGTGGCAACATTGAGAAAGAAAGAAAGAAAGAAAGAAAGAAAGAAAGAAAGAAAGAAAGAAAGAAAGAAAGAAAGAAAGAAAGAAAGAAAGAAAGAAAGAAAGAAAGAAAGAGAAAAAGAAAGAGAAAAAGAAATAAAGATGTTTGAAAGCAAGTCCTTCATTATAAAGACGAAAAGTCTGAGACCCAGGAGGGGAAGGGGACTTGCCCAAGGTCACATGCAATGTTGGGCACCAGGAGAAATTCAGAGTCTTTTCTCTTATACTGCAGGGTATCAGGAGGTAGGAGACCCTGGGAGGCTGGGACAGACACCTGCTTTTGGGGCCAGTGGGATTAGAGAGCTGGGATTGGTTAATGGTTAACCCCGAGCCCTAAAATTCCAGTGCAAGGCTAATTCCAGTGCAGAGTGATGTTCCCGTTCACCCAGTTTCTGTGCTCTGTCCTGGTGGCAGGAGTTGAGGTCAGGGGTTGCAGGTGTGGAGACTCTGTGAGTGGACCAGGACTGGGGCGAGGAGGCTCCTGGGAGCTTTAAGACTGTAAGGGACAGCATAGCAACGACAGCAACGATAATGAGCACGTTCATTTTCCGAAGACCCACCAAACTCTATGCCAAACTCTATGCTAAATTTTTCATACTTACTAGCTTGTTCAATCTTCCCAGTAGTGCTATGGGGTAGATGATCCACATTTTCCAGAGGAAGGGACTGAAGCTCAGAGGCAAAATGATTTGGCCAAAGTAACATGATGAGTTAGTTGCTGAGTTCTGCCCGAATCCAGACCCTGTACTTAAGAGCACCATGCCAGAGAGAGACAGAGTCTGGGGCAGGGCGGGGCACACTGGACAAGACCCTGGGGGTCCTCAGCCTTGGAGGTCAGCCTGTTGCTTCTGTTCAGTTCCTTTACCCAGTTCTGCTTCCTTGAACTGCCTGGGGGACCGAGAGGCCATATGGGTGGTGGCTTCTCCAGCGTCCTTCTACATGCACGTTCTCATTAGTTCCTCTGCTGCAGTCCTGCAGGGGTGGCCTGTCTTGTAGAGGAGGAAACCGATGCTCAGTGGGGTGAAGTGTTTCTCCAACGTCCCTCAGCCAGTAAGGGGCCCACCTGGCTTTTGAATCTAAATGCTGCCATTGTTTTCCCTCCTTTTCTCTGCTCAAAAGAGGCTAGATTGCCACCCATGTCTTTCCTTGAGGAATGCCCAAGAGGCCATCATTCAGAACGCGGTCTTTTAGACTGGGTTAAGCAGCGCCTCCTCCTATACTCCTCATTCATAAGGCCAGGAGCAGGGCCTCCTTTCAAGGCTCTTTTCTCATCTATAAAATATTGTCACAAAGCTTACATGAGAAATGAGAGCTAGGCACATAGGAAGGGGTTACTGTGTGGCAGTTTAAAAACTATAAGATTTCCAGGAACTGGGAGGAGCCGGCAACGAGACCTACACTGTGATGCCTGTTGATGTTTCCTCTGCCCCCTGTTTGAGAGGGGTTTATTTGTCCATTATCTGGCTCCCTATGGGCTCCAAGCTGCAGGAGGGGTCATGTCACTCTCATCGCTGTGGACGGCCTGGACTGGCAGAGTCTTGTTCCTCTAGAACACTGTTTGGCACATAGTCGGTGTTCAATAAATGTGTGGAATTAATGAATAAATCAACGACTAGACCAGTTACTTAATCTGAGCCTCGGTTTCCTCATATGTAAAATGGGGATATTAATATTGACCGCCTACGTTGTTGGGAGTGCTAAATGAATGAATGGTTGTAAACCTGCCTAACGCGGGGCCTTTGGCTTTCCCTGGAGGGCTCTTTACCTAATTAGATGCAAGAATTCTTTCCTGAGGGCCTTCCGTGTGCCCACTGTCAAGTTTAGATTGGATTTAGCAGTTCCAGGTCAGACCTACCAAGGGCCAGGTGAGCGCCTTTGGAGGAGGGAGATTCAAGGGGAGCAGAACCAATAGTCCTGGCCCAAGCCCGGCTCTGCCACTAATCCTTTGAGTCACAGGTGTGAAGAAGAAGGTAGTAACCCCTCCCTAGCTCTTCCAGGTTGTTCCAAAGATTCTGTAAGATTACAAGTGGGAAAGTTCTCATTCCCTGACTTGATACAAACTCAGGGATTGGTATTATTTGAATAAGACCTTACATAAGCCCCAAGCTTCTAACCAGCCTTGTGTACAGCACATACAGTCTTATGTTGAGGCTCCCCAGCTCAGATGCTGACAGCAACCAGGATTCATGGATGAGTAACAGGGGCCAGTCAGGTGGGGACAGAGGCCAACTGGTGAGCACATGCCCCTGTGAGGGTGTGGGCAGTCACTGGAAACTTCAGTTTACCCCCTGTAACTTCAGGCGAGTTGTTCTCTACCCTGGCTGCCCAAAAGAGTCACCCCGCAGAGCTTTTCAAAAATACTGGGGCCCCAGCCTCACTCCAGATCCACGAAACCAGAACCTCTAGGGTGGGGCCTGGGCACTTCCAGAAAATTCTACCGTTTACCCAGGGCTGCCGAGGAAGGGTACAGAGTGAGCTACAGATGGGTGGGGGTTGGGGTGAGGGTCACTGGGTCAGAGTTCTTTCTGTCTGGCCGTGCCCTGGGGAGCAATTTTGCCCCCTGGCATCAGTGTTTCATTAACAGACTTTCGCTTCCTGCTTCAGTGCCTTGGCCTCTGGCTGCGTGCATTGCTTGTAGACCTGTATTCGCATCACAGGAGCCCCGAGGCCCTTGTCCTCATGGCCCAGGGTGAACGATCTGCATTTAGCCTTCAGACCTTGGCTGGTGGTCAGCAGGGCCAGCCTCAGGCACAGGAAAAATGACACAGTCAGCCACCAAGGAATCCTCCTCCCCCATGGAACCAACAGGAAAGGCATAGCCAGCCCAGAGCAGAGAGGGGAAGGGACTTCCCCAAACCCCTGGGTGAGACAGGGAAAGAACAGAAACTGGAGTCTAGACCCTTCCTCCCAGCCCACATGGTCGAAGATCCCAGAACACGTCGGTAGTTGAACAGGTTGAGTTTACTTCTGTTGCCACAGTGAGAGAGAGCGCATGCTGGAGGGCGAGCTCAATCATGTCAGCAAGAGAGAGGGCTTCAGAAAGGACCTCTCATGGGACTTCGGCTTTGGTTGGGTCACATGGAGGGGGCTGTCTGAGGAAACAGGGATTTCTCTGGATGGAGTGCTGTCAGAAATCGGGGACAATTCAGTGATTGGGTGACGAAGTAGCAACCATTCACTTAGCAAGAGTTGGGGAGGCTTGTCCCTCTTACTTGCCGGTGGCAAGTGGCTTTGTGCTAGACAGGTTTATGAAGCATCCTTGCTTTGGCTCATTTTGTCAGTCTCAGTTCAGAGTGACTTTGAGGTCAGTGATGTGTAAGATGATGTAGGTCCAATGAGAGAACAACATGGGGTGATGGGTCAGACCACTTGCAGATGTCAGGGGCCACTTTTTTATTCTTTTTGAAGAGTAACCCCCATTAAACTGAGAGCATTTGAGATCTTGCACCCCAGCTTATGTCGTCAGTTTGCCTCAAATAAACTCTTATAAAAACTAAAAAAAAAAAAAAAAAAAGAGTAGCCCACATTAAACTAAATCCTTGCTAGCACTCAGATTCCTGTGAAATTCTTTAAACCATGGGCTGGCAAACTTCAGCCCACCAAATCTAGCCTACCTCCTGTTTTATTTATTTATTTTTTTGTGCAGCTTGTGAGTTGAAAATAGCTTATACATCTTTTTTAAAGGTTGAAATAAACCAAAAGAAGACAAATGTTTTGTGACTTGTGAAAATTATATGAAATTCAAATTTCAGTGTTCAAAAATAAAGGGTTAGCCACGCTAATTCATTTATGCATTGTCTATGGCTGCTTTCAAGGTATCGTGGCAGAGTCCAGCAGTTAATGGCAGAGACCATATGGCTTCTAAAACCTAAAATATTTACTATCCAGCCTTTTACAGAAGAAATTTGCCAGTCCCTGCCTTAAATGGTGTTTTAGTATACTCAGTTCACTGGAACAAAAATACCATAGACTAGGTATTCATTTCACACAGTTCTGGAGGCAGGGAAGTCCAAGATCAAGGTGCCAGCAGAACTGGTGTCTGGTGAGAGCCCACTTCCTGGGTCATAGATGGCCGTCTTCTCACAGTGTCCTCACACGGTGGGAAGGGCAAGAGGGCTGGGCGTGCTCTCTTTTATAAGGGCACTGATCCCGTTCATGAGGGCTCCACCCTCGTGACCTCATCACCTCCAAAGGCCCCACCTCCTAACACCATCACATTGGGGATTAGGTTTCAACATATGAATTTTGGGGAAATGCAAAACAAGTCTATAGCAAATGAGTCAACTCCTTAATCCTCTTGACAACCTTAAGAGAATTATTACTTCCGTTTTATGAATTAAAGAACTGAGGTATGCAGAGATTAAGAGATTTATCCAAACCAGGGTTTCTCAACTTCAGCGCCATGGATATTTGGGTTGGGATACTTCTCTGTTGTGGGGGCTGTTCTGTGCACTGTAAGATGTTTGGCAGCATCCCTGGCCTCTGCCCACTGGATGCCAGTATTACACCCCCACACCCCCACACCAGTTGTGACAACCAAAAATGTCTCCACACATTGCTCAATGTTCCTTGGAGGTAGAACTGGCCTCGGTTTGAAACCACTGATCGAAGGTCGCATAGTACGTGATGGAGCTATGATCTGAACCAAGAACCCATGTGTTCAGTTACCAGTCAAATGCCCAATGCCCAGGAATGGATTCTTTTGCCCTTGGTGATGATTTCAGCTGCAGGAATTTATAATCTCTTCAATTTTTCTTATCTCCAAACCACTATCAAAGGCTCCTAGGGAGACTGACCTATCAAGTCCAAAAACAAAGTCAGGTCCTGTCCTCATTCCTCTGCTCAAACACGGCCCTGCCTCTGCTCCCATCTGACTCAGAAGCCAAAGTTTTTGCTGTGAGCCCCCAAACCCCCATCTGAGCCGGTGCACTTTCTGCCACCCCCACCCCTTGCCACTTCTCTCACCTCACCTCCTGCTCCTCTCCCACTCCCTCAGGCCCCTCCAGACCCACTGGTCTCCCTTCTGCTTCTGGACACACCAGACACACTCTCACCTCAGGGCCTTTGCACCTGCTCTTTATTGCCCCTTCACCTTCTTCAGATTTCTGTTCAGTGTTACTTTCTCAGTCAGACTTTTCCTGACCATCCTTTAAAAAAAGGTATCCCATCCCAGAATATCTGTCCCCTTCCCTGCTTTATTTTTCTCCATGACACTCATGGATATAGAGACTTATTTGTTTATGGCCTGTCCTCCTACCAGAAGGTAAGCTCCACAAGGACATGGGTTTTCGTGTCTTGTCCCTCGGTGACCTTACTGAGGGATCGATTGGCTAGGGTTCACATGACTGAGTTCTGGCCCTGGGCTCCAAGTTGCAATAAGATCTCATCTAAGAACTGAAACACAGAACTGGAACTTATTCACTCTCAGCATCTCTAACACCGCTAGCCTAGAGCAGTCATCATCATCTTACCTGGAAAATGCAATAGATTCTGAACTTGTCTCCCAGCTTCCATTTTTGGCACCCCCTGTAGTCCATTCTCCCCTACCAGGCTCAAGGATGTTTGCAAAATGTCAATCACATGCTATCCATCTTGGGCACTAAATCCTGCAGAGTTTGCCATCCTTGATTTGACTTCTGATTTCTGTTGACCTTGATCTACCCAACTCCCACTTCCCATCTCCTCTAGGCCTTCCCTACTCACTACATTCCCAGCACACTGGCCTTCTCGTTGTTCCTCAACTCTGCCAAGCTTCTTACCCCAGGGCCTTTGCACTTGCTGTTCCTGTTGCCCGCATAGTTCTCATCATGTCTCTTCATGTGACTGGCTCCTTTTTATCCGTGAAATCTCAGATCAAATGCCATCAGCTTATGGTGTCCCTCTGTTGACCTGATCACAGTAGGCCACCTGCTCCGCATCCCCACTCTGCAATTGTTTTCCATCACATGGCCCAGTTTATTCCCTCCATCACTTTCTTCACTACCTGAAATTTTCTTTCTGTGTTTATTGTCTGTCTCCTCTTCTGGAATATAAACTTCATGGGAACAGGGACCTTGTTTTATACTGTTCACTGTGTACCCCAAGCTCTTAATCAATAGCACATCGTAGGTGCTCAATAAATCCTTTTTGAATGAACGAATGAATAAATGAATGAATGGAAGATTGGGGTCACCCATCCCCTTGCTGGTCTGTTACCATTTATAGCTAGCCTTTCCCAAACATCCCTTTAGCAATGGCTGTTCAGGTAAACCTAGGCTTGAGTTATGGGTTGTCGGACAGTCTTGCAGCTAACTCTCTGCTTACAGGTGTGGGTGTCATCTCCAAACAGGGGTGAGTGGGACCAGAAAATGTAATGTCAAATGCCTCATTCATTCATTCATTCATTCATTCATTTGACTCAGTGATTAGTATGGAATCCTTGGCAAAGAGTGCAGCCTGAGGAAGCACTCTTGACTGACTACAAAAGAATGGGCATGCTCCTGTTTTGTTCACATGACACTAAAGACATTATGCTCTTTTCTCCTAGCTGCTGTGCCGACAAAAAGCCTGCACACTGTGCCCATGGAGATACAATTTCTTGCCAGCACAGGAGAGTGAGTTCCTGGTGAAAATCATAGAGGAGCCAGAGCTCGATGCAAGGAAATGATGAACAAGAATTCAGTGCTGCAAGCAACCCCCTCCCATTTCTGAATTTTTCTCCAAATGACCTAATTGCCCAAGTTTTCACCACTCATCTCTTGGGCTTAGGCATGGACCTCCACAGACCCCTTAAAAAATACAAATGTGGCCAGGGCAGAGGAGGACTTTGTAACTCTAGAGTTCTGGTGAGGGGCCAGAAGAGCGAGTAAGCACAAGCTGCATGACAGTCAAGGAGTACAAGGGGTGCAGACCAGGTCAAGGGGCTCTTAGACAAAAATTTCCTATGAGACAATAACAATCCTTCACACTGCGAGTCAGGAGCACTTCACATCGATGGCGTGTTCAGTCTTTGGTGTCCTTTGTATATGACGGCGTGGTTAAGATCTTGGAGTTTGGAGCCATGCAGACCTGACTTTGGACCCTGGCTCTGCTGCTTACCCGCTGTGTCGTTTAGAAAAGTCACTTAACCTTTCTAAGCCTCAGGTAGTTTCACCTACCAACTGGACAAGATATTGGAACCCACCTTATAGGATTGTTTGAGATTAAATGAGATAATGTCGACACAATAGGCTGCTAGGCTCTACCCTCACTGATGGTAACACTTGTTGTTAATGGCATCATGATCTCTATTTAATGGTGATGAAATAGCAGGAAGTAAAGTGACTTGCTCAAGGCATTGCCGGGCATGGATCAGGTCTGTTTCATTCATTCAACAAATATTTATAAGAACTTAGGATGAGCCTGGCACTGTCAGGGATACAGCAATGAAGAGACAAAAAAAAATCCCAGCCCTGTGGCGCTTACATCCCGGTGACAAGGAACCACTACACGGGTAAAATTCATAATATGTCAGATGGTTGGTGAGTGCTATGCAGGAGAACAAAGCAGGAAAGAGAGCTGGAGTCCTGGGAGTGGGAAAGGGCAGTTTTAAAACAAGTGGTCAGGGAAGGCCTCGCTAAAAGGTCATGCCTGAGCAGATACCTGGAGAAGGTCAGGCGTCATGGACGATCTGTGAAGTGTTCTCAGCAGGGGGACCAGCAGGTGCAGAGTTCCTGAGAGTCCAGAGCAGACAGGAAGCCAGTGTGGCTGGAGCGGATGGTAGGAAGTGGTGTCAGAGAGACAGTCAGTGTGGCCAGAGAGCAGTGGTGGAGGGATCGAGCAGGTGGGACCTCACAGGTCGTTGATGAAGCCTTGACTTTGAGTGAAATGGAAGCTGACGGAGGGATAGCAGAGAAGAAACGTGATCTTACATCTAATTGTTTTATCTTGTAGCCTGTGTTCCTTCCTGGCACCATGTGGGAACTTTGAGGCCAGCACCGAGCTATGGACTCTGTGACTGGCCCAGCCACTCACTACCATGAGGCCTGGGAATCAGTTTTAACGGTCTGTCTATATGGAGCTCGTGCTGAATTTATTGGAAAAGACCTGATCCCCACTCTCTGGAGCTCCATGTCCATCGAATGCAAACCCCCTCCCCTCCCTGGGCCTCAGTTCCCCCATCTGAACAAAGAAGGGATGGCACTAGATGAGCCCTAGGGCCACTTCAGCTTTCTCATTCTCGCTGTGAGGCTCGGTCCAGTTGGGTTCCCAGATCCGAGGCGGGCCACAGTTCCTAATCAGGCCGCTCACCCCGACAAGTCGGATTATGACCTTGGTCTCCAGCTGCTTATAGTCCTTGTTTTCTTTTCAGATTGAAGATCGAGTCCCCATTACCCACTGGAGAAGGGGCCCCTCATGTAGCAATTAAGTCCAGAAGGAATTTGAGGTGTCTTTTATTCTTTAAAAAAATTGATTTGTTACGCAGGAGCAATTCTGATTCCATTCACTTAGGAACATTCTATACTCTTAAACGAAAAGAAAAATGTGCTCAGCACCTCACTCCCAGGGACAGATTAAAACGGTGACATGGATACTGTTCTAGATTATTTCTTGATATCTCCCTATATACATAAATGCATTTTTAAATAAAACTTTGATAATACTATATATGCTATTTTGTAACCTGCTATTTCACTTAAAGAAGTGTAGTTAACATCTTTTCACTTCAATAAATTCGTGTCAACATCATCTTTTAATTATAAAATTAATAATTCTTAACTTAATTCTTTCCCAAAGTCTTTAACTGTATAAGAAAAACAACCCAGAAAATACAAATAAAAAATAAAAGAGAAAAAAAAATCCATAATTCCACCCCCAAGAAAGGCACCAAATGACTTTGCTTATGCCATTCTAGATTTTCTTAATACTCATATATTCAGGAAATATGTGAATATTTCTTTAAAAAACTAGTGCTGTTACCCACCTTTTCACTTTATATAATGAACATTTTTCAACTTAATACATACTCACCTAAATCATCATTTTTAATAGCTCCAGAAAGAGAATCATCTTTGTTTAGCCAATTCCATTTTGATGGAGATTTAGGTCGTTTTCAATTTATATTTAGTACCACGGTGAACTGTCTTGTACCCACGCCCAAGGCACCTGACCAATTATTTCTTTAGGATAAATTCTGAGAGTAGAACACCTGAGCTGAAGGGGTGCACGTTTTAGAGGTTCTGGATGCCCGTGCCAAATTATCTTCTAGAAAGACCACTTAGCTCCCCCAACTCAAGCAGTGTGTGAGCTATTTCCTGTGAGGTCAGCAGTTCTGAGTGTGTTCTGAATGGCTTCTCTCCGGGTTTGTTTAAAGCAAAGACTGCCCTGAGGAGGCGGAGGCTTCGTGCTCCAAGAAGGAGGAGGAATATCGCAGAAACGTCTGGAAGGGTTTCCTCATCTCCATCCCCTACTCAGCCAGCATCGGAGGCACTGCTACCCTCACGGGCACTGCCCCCAACCTCATCCTGCTTGGCCAGCTCAAAAGGTAAACGCAAGTATCCCCGACCTGGCACTGGAGTTTCTGCCCCTTCTGCCCCTCGCCCTCGTTCATTCAATACCCAGGGGGTGTGTATTGAGTGCCTTCTATTGGTCAGGCTCTGGGGACCCAGGAAAGCACAAAACCCAGCAAAGTCTCTACCCTGGGGGACTTCCATTCTGGTGGGGAGATAAGCAGTAAAGGAAAAAGCAAAGGAATATGTGATATGTCAGTGTGATGAGCTATGAAATAAAAATAAAGCAAGATAAAGGGGTAGAAGTGACAGGAGTGGGTGCTATTTTATATAGATCGGCCAGGGATGTCTGACCTCTCTAATAAGGTGACATTTGAGCAGAGACCTAGAAGTGAGAGAGCGATCTCTGTGGACACAGGAGGGAAGAGCATTCCAGGGAGAGGGAACAGCCTGCACAAAGGTGAACGGTGCAAAGACCAGCGAGTGAGGAAGGTGAAGGGGATTGTGGGAGGAGACGAGAGAAGAAAGAGGCCAGACTCAGGCAACCACTAAAAGGACCCCAGCTTTTCCTTCAAGTGAGATTGGGAGTCAGTGGAAAGCTAAGAGCAGAGGACTAACATGATGTAGCATCTGCTTTAATAACTAACCCCAACTGGAGGCGTTGGTCTGCGGCTGTCATGTCCAATGAGAAGCTTTGCAGCGATGCACATGGGCCGGCAGTGGAGTGGGCTCTGCCAGGATGTAAAGTGTCCCCATCACTAAAACTGTCTAAACAGAGGCTAGGGGCCATCTGTCAGGGCTTGAGAATAAGAAGGATTCTCAGACGGCACGATTGTTGATTCCATCATTCCAAACCTCTTAGTTTGAAGATTTGAAAAATTCCTGTATTTCAAGAGTCTAAGATTTTCAGATTCCAGGGTCCTGAGAGGTGGGGTTTCTAAGATGCCTAGGCAGTGGAGATGCATCATATATTCGTTTAATCTACATAAATGCAAATATAAGCACTTGGCAAGCAAATAACAGCAAAAAGTCTTTGATATTCACCATGACTCCGAACGCTGGCCAGCTCCTTTACCTGGTACTCAACCCAGGAATAGAAGAGCTATGAGGATGATGGAGGGAAAGGGGGTGTTGGTTTTCCTGAGAGCAGATTTGGTACAAAATTCAGTACTATACTTGCGGATAATTGAAGTTATTTTCACGAGAAATTTTAAGTACACCCTGTTCTGCTGCATGAGCTATTTGAAAACATTAACCCTCCACTATATTCTCAGGTTCTTAAATTCTTTGATTTTTTTTCTATTTGATGATAGAAGTGGGTGATTCTCAGCCATGGATGCATTTTAGGTCACTGAGGGGAGGCGAGAAAATGTGCCTGAGTCTCAGTTTGCGGAGATTCTAGTTCAGGAGGTGTGAGATGGAGCCAGGCATCAGTATTTTCCCAGTTGATCTGAGTTCACTGCAAACCTTTGGAGTCTTTCCATCTCCATTCTTTGAGCAAGGCCTGGCTGTGCCTCGTATTTTTTTTTGGTTAGTGGCTCAAACACCAGAAGCCAAGAGGGTCCTGCTTCAGCTGTGGGGACAATCTAGGCTTGGCCTTTTAGTCTCCTTGGTTAGAAGGATGTTCAAGCCAAGGGGCAGTTTTCTGGGAGGACAAAGCAGGGTGTTGGGTATTAGGACTTGCTGGAGGACATCCCCAGGGCTGGACAGGAGATGTGGGCTCTGGGGTCCTTAGAGGCAGGTCCTGAGCTGGGGGACAGAATGGGTAGGATGGCAGTTGCTGTCAGAGTTTTCAGGCTGCCTGCCCACCCTGACGTGAGCAGAACTTTGTTCCAGTTTGAAAAGAAATTAGGGAAAAAGTGCTGGAGCTGTAAGTAAAAATATAAAACATGAAGGATTTCTGAGTAAATTGCATGCAAATCACATGCAAATAACATGCAACACTTAATTGCACAGGTTTGTACCTTCTGGTCTGGGAGCAGGGGATTTAGAAGGAATGTCAAGTAATATGGGGTTCTGATTCTCCAGCTGGAAGCCTGGGGAGACAGGGAAATGGGTGCCCTGAGTATTCTTGGGGTGTGCTCCCCAAATACATTTTATTAGTTTATTCTGATTATACATGTTATAGAATACTCAGAAGATATAGAAAAAAATTAAAACTTTGAAATACTTTTCATCTCACTGTTATATTTAACATACCACTAGTTTTTCTACGTACACACACACACACGTGCGTGCACACGCACACACGTACGCACGCACGCACACGTGCACACATTGGCACGGCTGACCTCGGCGGGCTCTCACCTCCCTCTTTTCTCCAGTTTCTTCCCGCAGTGCGACGTGGTGAATTTTGGCTCCTGGTTCATTTTCGCCTTCCCTCTCATGCTGCTGTTCCTGTTGGTGGGATGGCTCTGGATCTCCTTCCTGTATGGGGGAATGACCCTGAGGTACCCCACACGTTTGACCTGAGCTTTGAGCCAGACTAAACTGTGTTGGACCCAGCTTCCTTGTCACTAGGGAGTGGCCTTCCTAAGTCTCAGGCTCCTCCTCTATAATCTGAGGATTGTCCTTATAATTTCATGTTCTCTTCTCACGTGGTGACTGTGTCGACCTCGCCTCCCAGGGGATGTGAAGGTTATGGGTGGTGTGTGAGCCTCCAGTTATGCCCAGAACCTCAGCTAATTCACCCAACATCAATATTAATACACTACTACAAACACATTTTTATTTTAATAGATATCGTCCAGTCATTCTCCATAAGAATTATACTAATTTGTTCTCCAATTCACCACACATGAGAGTATCTGTTTCCATGAAGCAAAGTGGATTTTTGCCAATCGAAGAGAAAAATAAATTGCATTTATTTTATTGAGAGTAATTTCGAGCTACTTCATATTGAGAGGCAATATGAAAAGTTTTTATATATTCATGGGGACCATTGGTATTTCCTTTCCTGCGAATTGTTAAACTGCATGTTTATATCCTTTGTACATTTTTTAAATGGATTGTTGGTCTTGGTCTTCTTGATTTTTAGTTCGTTTTACATATTGAAAGATCTGAGATTATTCTGCAATATGAGTTGTAAATATTTTTCCTGATTTGTTTTATACTTTGCTTATAGTGCTTTCTTATACATAGGATTTTTTAGAAATTTTTATGTAGATGAATTTATCAATCTCTCATATGGCTTTTGAATTTTCAACTATAGTTAAAAAGACCTTTTCATTAAAGGAGCTATAAAAACGTTATCACATATTTTCTTCTAGTATTTTTATATTTTTTACATTTAAATTTTTTAAAAAATCTATTTGGAATTTATTCTTAGGATGCAGTGTGAGATTTGGATCCAACTTAATTTTTTGGTTCCAAACGACCATTCAGTTGTCCCAACGCCATTTATCGACATGTGCAAGTTCTTAATTTTGATAAAGTCCAATTTACCTATCTTTGGTTATAAGAGCTTTTGGTGTTACATCTAAGAAATAGTTCACTAACCCAAGGCCATGAAAATTTACCCCTATGTTTTCTTCTAAGAATCGTATAGGTTTAGCTCTTACATTTAGGTCTTTGATCCACTTTGTTAAAAATTGAGTTAAATTTTGTATGTGGGATCAGGTAGCGCTCCACGTTCGTTCTTTTGTATCTGGCTATCCGGTTGCCTCAGCACCGTTTGTTGAAAGACTGTTCTTTCCCCACCGGAAGGTCTTGGTACCCTTGTCAAAAACCAGTAGACCACAGATGTGCGGGTTTATTTCTGGGCTCCTGGTTCTATTCTGTTGATCTATATGTCCAACGCCATCAACCATGGCCCGTCTTTTTCCACGCCAGCCTGTGATACCAAGTTTACCACAGACTAAATTCCCATTTCTGTTTGGTTCTATTTCTGGACCACCAATCGATTTGTCTCTTAATTCATATATCTGTTTGAGTAAAGGATTTTAAGTCTGGGAGCCATATAATCAGATTCACATTTTTAAAAGGCCGTCTAAGCTATAGCTGGGGGAACGAATTTTAGAAAGAGACAGTTATTCAGCAGGCCATTGCAGTCTCCAGCATAGAGCTAATGAGGCCTGGCCAGGTGGTGGTGGCGCAGGGGAGAAGTCAGTCACACCTGCCATGGCCACTCCTAACCTCCCCATTTCCTGTTTCAGGGGCTGGAGGAAGAAGAGATCTGAGATCAGAGTGGATGCAGAAAATCGGGCTCGAGCTGTGATTCGGGAGGAATTCCAGAACCTGGGGCCCATCAAGTGCGTGGCGTGGGTTTCCTTGGGGTGGGGAGAGAGCTGGGCGTCAGACGCAGGAGAGTTACCTTCTGGTCTGACCCCTGCATCCCCAGGGGCTGAGCCCCAGGGGAATTTCAAGACTCGAAATGAGATCCTGGAGATGGAGGGTAGGGAGGTGGTTTACACAGATACCCTGAAGACCAGAAAGCCCCTTGGGATGGGGACCTGCCACCTTTCCGTCTAATGCACCTGTCCCTCCTGCTGCACGGGATGTCCGACACTGCCCTGTGTGGCTTCCAGGATCTTGTTTAATGCATGTTTCTCATGTGATGAAAATAACTAGGAGTCAGCAGGCCTGCACACGGGGCTGACTCTGTCACTAACTTCCTGTGTGGCCTTGGGCAGGGCACTAACCCTCTCCGGGCCCTGCTCCCCAATCTGTGAAATGGACACATTGGGTAGATATTTCTCTTTCTCCCTCTGTATACCCCTCTCTCTGTGTCTGTCCCCCTCTGCGTGTATGCTTATCGGTCCACCTCTGTATGTATGACTGTTCCTTCCTCTCTCTTTGCCGACCTCTCTGTTCTTGTCTGTTTGTCCGTTTCTCTGCTTTTCTGAGTCTGTATGTATGACTGTTCCTTCCTCTCTCTTTGCGACCTCTCTGTTCTTGTCTGTCTGTCTGTTTCTCTGCTTTTCTGAGTCTGTCTGTTTCACTCGCTCCCTCGCTCTCGCTCTCGCTCTCG